TCGTCATGTTATAAAAAATAAACACTGTTAAGTCTTATATGGCTTTTTGTTAATTTTTTTCTTTATTTTAAACTCCTTGCCGCGTAATTTTGATATGTATAACCATGGAAGTACAAAACTGATGGAAGTTCATCGAGCCGCAAACATCAAAGCAATTTCAAATAATCTCAAGAGCATACTCCCGAGTATGCTTGTAACCAACAAAAAAACAAAACAAGTTTTATTGGATAAAAAGACAACAAAATTCAATAAAATGATTTTTATAAAAACATTAAAAAATGAATTATTCTAGGGATATACTGCAAGTTTTTAACCATTAGTAATTGCGATTATTTAGCAAAAGGTTTATTAAAACTCGGTAATTAAATAGAACCACTTGATTTTAAAAGCATATTTTAGTTTAAGCTTCTTTTCTTGCTTCAAGTTATAAAACGACTTTTGATAAAAAAGACAACTAAAACAATTTTTAAAAAATCAAAAAAATTGTTTTTTAAATAACTAAAGTTGAAAGTTTTATTAGCTGTATATCATAACTCCATTTATTCTTGTAATACTCCATTCATTTAATATGAAGTTTATAAAAAAGTTGTTGTTTGCCGTTTTGTTACGCTATTTTTAATGTTTTTCTTAAACGTTATTGGCGAACCTTTATTTTTAAATTATTATACGAATACCTAGTTGCGTCAAAGTATAAAGATTAGGCGTTTAAGTACAGTCTTGATGTCGTTTTCTTATTGTTTACAAAACAAAAGGTTACGAGCATAGTTCCGAAAATTTTTAAAGCCATCTGTTTTATACTTCCACGGTATAACACTGTAGAATACTGCGTAAAGTAACAACAGCAGTGTAAACATTTCGAGTTATATTTACAAGTTATTCAATGATAAACTGATATAACAGTAAAAATTTGAAAAGAGAATAAATGTTAAACAAGGCAAATTTTTACAATTTTTTTCAAATGCTAATTTAAAGTAAAATACACATAAGTAGACAAATTTGAAAGATAAAAATTAACTATCAAAGAAATTCATTTGAATTGGGGTTGACCACCTCCGAAAAATTAAATATGAAAATATAATCAATTTGCAACAGCCTTACGTAGCTAATGCCATATTTTGATTATTTCTAATTCGTAACATCCGTACTTACCAGTATATTAGTAAATATAATTGTGTGTTACGGAGCTTTGATTTCGAGTTATCAAAAATTAAATTTTAAACCCCAACTTCGGTTCCAATAATTTTATATAGGAAGTTATAACAAAGATCTAACTTTAGCGAACCTGAGAATAGCGATGCAAGACAAATTTGTTTTAGCATGGAAGTATAAAACAGATGGAAGTTTATCGAGCCGCATACATTAAAGCAATTTCAAGTTGTCTCGGGAGTATGCTTGTAACCGACAATTAAAAAAAAACAAGTTTCACTGGATAAAAAAACAACAAAATTCACTGAAATGATTTTTATTAAAACATTAAAAAATGAATTATTCTAGGGATATGTTGCAAATTTTTAACCATTAGTAATTGCAATTATTCAACAAAAGCTTTATTAAAACTCGGTAATATAATAGAACCACTTGATTTTAAAAGCATATGTTAGTTTAAGCTTCATTTCTTGCTCATAACACGACATTTGATAAAAAAGACAACTAAAACAATTTTTAAAAAATCAAAAAATTGTTTTCTAAGTAACTAAAGTTTAAAGTTTTATTAGCTGTATATGATAACTCCATTCATTCTTGTAGTACTCCATTCATTTAATATAAAGTTTATAAAAAAGTTGTTGTCTGCCGTTACGTTGCGCCATTTTTAATGTTTTTCATGAATATTATTGGCGAACCTTCAAAATGCTATATTTTTAAATTATTATAAACGTATCTATTTGCGTCAACGTATAAAAATTAAGCGTTTAAGTACAGTCTTGATGTCGTTTTCTTATTGTTTACGAAACAAAAGGTTACAAGCATAGTCCCGAAGAATTTCAATGCGGTTGAACTTCTATCTGTTTTATACTTCCATGGTTTTAGTAAGAAAAAGTCAAACAAAAACATTTAATATATGTTGTTCACAACTTGTGAAACGCAAACTTGTGCTATTTTTCTTTAGTAACTTTTTATTTATTTATTTATTATTAGAGCTTGAAGTTTTAAATTAACTATAAAACTTACTATTTATTACTCTGGCTTAGCAAACCCATCTTTGTATGTGACAGGACATAATTTATCAACAGCATTATCAATACTAATACAATTTTTTTTTTATGCATTGACCTTCCCTCAGCCACAAAGGCCACTAAAGTCGGGGAGGATTTTTTTTTTTAATTGTGGTTGTAACTCTCTCTCTCAACTCTATAACTCCAAAACACGAACCTTGATAAAAAAGACAGCAGCGCGGAGAACCAAGTTAAACGCGGTACTACCAAAGACGCGGTGTGGATCGAACTCGGAACTTCTCGCTTCTGAGGCGAGCGCTCTTCCACTACACCGCTATGGCTTAATCACTTCAAACTACCACTTAAATATTGATCCGACGGTTAAACATCCCATTTCGTTTGAATTTGACTAACTTATAGCTAACTAAATGCAGTCATGGTGCAGTGGTTAAAGTTCTGGCTCAAAACCCAGAGGTTCGATGCGGGCTCTAGCCCAATAAGCAACATTGGAAGGAAGAGTAAAATTCCTAGTTAATTGCTTTTCCGCGGTGCTTTGTGATTCTAAGATCTTCTGGGAGCACCTTGAATACTACAATAACAACAAAAAAACTTAACTAGCAATCAGCGTAGTTGTTGTTATTGACGCCGTTAGCTTAGGTATTTATGGAACCGCTGTACAGTGGTTCCATAAATAGCGGGAAATAAACTTGTGACAACGATAAAAACGTCTTTATCGTTGTCACAAGATTATTTCCCACCACAAAGCCTTAAATTTTTTTGCAAGTTTAATTAAAATTTATAATAAATGCATTGAATTTCTTTTTCATTTTATTAAATAAGAAATTTTGTTTCGTCAATTTTTATTTATATGAATTCAATTTTTACAGAATATAAAAAATTGATATATTGTAACGTAAACAATACATACACTCAGAGAGCCGCACTGTAATATACAGAGAAAACATCGTGTTTCATCGAATATATTTTATAAAGTAATTACTTTTACTAACAAAGAATTTTCTTTAATTGGAATTGTGAGGAGAGTTGCATCTTAAAATGGATATATTGATATGAAAGTAAAGTAAAAAACGGATAATTTATTAGGCAGTAGAGCACTCGCTTCATAAACAATTAGTTCTAAGATCAATGGCCACCACGTCCGTGCCTAACTAACGTGCCTAAAGATTCTCTGCACAACGGCTTTATTCGGCTTGCCTTTAGGAGTTAAAGAGTTGAGAGAGGGTTGTATAAAAACTAAAAAATAAAAATGAGTAGCTTGCTACCTCTTGATGTAGTAGCGTGTCCTCAGCCTTGGGGAAGTGAATATATAAATAACAAAAAAAGAACTGGTTGTATACATCGTTTCCAGCCCTTATCATCAAACACATAACATGCATCAAACATGCATCAAACACATAAACGTTGTCCAAACTTATTTGGACAACGTTTATGTGTTTGATGCATGTTAACTTTGTTGGTTAGGTCAGAGAAGCAAAACTATATAAGAAATACAAATTTCAAAGTTATTGGAAATTTGTAAAGTAACTAAAAAACACAAGTTTCCTATATTCTTTGATAATATATTAGAATTTCCTAATAGTTTTTTTCCTTTAGAAAAAAATTTTTTTTTTTTTTTTAAATATTGTTAAACCATATTCATACTGGTGGCGGCTTAAAGACGCAACATAAATTTAAACCAATGTAATTTTTCTCACCCTTAATCGCTTTCGCTTAAACTTTTTGACTTTTCATATTATAATAAACTACACCATTTCCAACATTAACGCATGAATGAAAAAGTCTAATAGTGTTCTTATCGCGGTCTTGTCGACGACACCCTACAACATGAGTTTTTGAAAACATCACTTTGCAACAATTTTATTGATTATAATTAAGTTTTATAATTTTTGAACACTTTTTTATTGTCTATTCCCATTGTTTTGTTCAGAAACTATTTTGTTCAGAAAAAATTGAATTCACTAAAAAATATATTGAAAAAATATGAGCAAACGAACGTGAGTTTTCGCAGAAGATGCTATAGCAAATATTCTCAAATTTGTTGAGAACTCTGACAATAAAAGCAATGGTTTGGTTAAATTCGATGGAGAACCAGGAATACAAAATTTAAATAAAACTTGCAACTATGTCAAAAAGTCTTTTAGTTTTAAAATTTGTCTCGATAAACTAGATTTTGATGATGAATCTAATAACGACAGTGGCATCAAAGACAATTAGAATGTTAAAAACGAGAAACCAAATATAAATCCTGAGCGATAACTGACCTACCAAAAAAAATGTTTTTTAGCATATTTGAAACAGTTTGAAAGGTCTAGGGCTATCTGGTATTTTCTTGTCAAGTTCTTCAAAACTTCTATTGGCAATACTCTATCTGTGACTTTCTAGCTATGAAAAAAATCATTAATGTTTAACATAAGTTGGTAAATAAAATTTAATTTAGGTTACTTTGAAAGTTTTCAAAATTTTAAGTACAATTGCTTTGCCGCCCCCACGAAATAGGCTTCGCGCTCCATGAGCGCGACCCAGTATAAGCTTGACCTCCGCGACCCAGTATAAATAGGGTTAAGGAAAATTTACCTGTTCCGATTAACATTTTAATTAAATTTTGAATAAATTTTTATCAAAAAATTTACATCACTAATATTTTTAAATTTCAGTATTAAAATTAAAAATTGTTGTTGTTTAATTTCAACACACCTCCAACACATAAAAACTCCAACATTCTCAATAAACTTCACATCTTCAATCACCTCACTTCAAACATTTAAAACCTTCAAACATGATCAATTTGATACCTTTTGATGTTCCAAGAGTTAATAAAACACTTCATTGCTAATATATTTTTATAAAAACTTTTTTTTTATTATATTACAAAGGAGATCAAACAAATCTAACAAAATGTGACAAACTCCGGAAAGCGACTTAATAAGTTGATTGATATGAACAATATTTAGCGTAACCCCAAATACATCTTCATGGTAACGTCCGTTTTTCTAAAATCAGGTATTGATAAATAATAAGTAAAATAGATAAATAAAATAATACTAATAAAAGGATGCTAATAAGAAACAAAACTAAAAAAAAAAGTAATAATAAAATACCTTTAACTCATATATCAATTGCTTGCAATCATGTTCACTACACTTTAAACTTTCCATCAAGATATTTATTATAGTGTTTTGAACATCCGATGCCATTGTAGCATTGCCGCAGATGTAAATATGACCTTGCTTTTTCCATAAATTCTCTAGCACCAACTTTGAATTAAGTTTTATTAAATTTTGAACGTATGTCTAAAGAATTAAAAACTATTTCATAAAAACTAAGTTTATTAGTGATGCTGAGCATCAGCGTTAAACAAATGTAAAGTATTAGATGAACATTTATGTAACTTTTTTCAATAAATCACGAGTTTAAGCTTTTAATAATGCTAAAATTAATATTTATCGCGTTGTATGTGACGCTTTTCATGATAAAGATGTATGGCTATAAGAAAACAATTTAAACATTATCAGATTCCTTTTATAACAAAATTTTCAAAGAGACCTTTGAGCCTACAGGTAGTCTTGAACACCCTACAAACACTCCAGTTAAAGCGCCTTGAGATTTCGCATCTTCTAATTCTCTACTATAAATATTTTCAAATTTATTTCGACAGCCGTAGAATAAAAACGTTTCGCCAAATTCTACTTCATTATGATGCAATATATCATATTGTCTTTGTTGCCAAAAAGATCGAAATGGCGCAATACCTGTTCCACTTCCCACCATTATTATAGGTACAGATCTGGATGATGGAAGTCTAAAACTAGGTGTTCTAAAATAAATCAAAATTAAAGTGTAAGTAATAGGAAAATGTGCAAGTAGTTTTTATAATGTTTTAGTAATTTTTTAAATTTATTTCAAATACTTAAAACATCTAAATTGAAAAAGTACTTCATGACAAAACAGCAAATTTCGTCGCCAGGATTTTTTGAATGCAGCCAAGAAGAACACACACCACTGCGCGTTATGTCTAAAAAAGTATTTTTTTATTTTTTTTAAAAAAAAGACTGAAATCCATCACATGAAATCAAGATCAAGACAACTTTAACAAGACAAATATCCAGAGATAGTACTTTGTACAGTTCCAGTCTTAAGGTTTGCACTGATTTTTGATAAAATATTGGAAAGTACATTGGTATGGTGTCATTCCATTTTAATGGAGAAATGCTCGGATAAAAGCATTAAACTGTTGATCAGGGATGTCCAAGTAAATTTTATTTGGACAGTTAAAGTTAATAAGTATAAATAAGAAGAAAACTGATTTAAAAATATTTTTAAATAAAACTTTGAACTCACCTCCATCAACTAATAGATATTTAAAAAAAATTTCTTAACAAAGAATTGCTCTGCTCAATAGTTCAGCCTCTTTAAGCAATTCATCATTTTGAGACACAAATCCGACAATATTACCTAGAGACATGATTGTATACTTTTTTATAATGATAGTAAGTTATCAAAAACCCACATGAAGACTTTGGATGTAAAAATCTACAAAATTTACTAGAAGTTTCTGCATTAGAAAGTCAAATTACAGAGTATTGCATTAGAAAGTCATGCACACAGAAGTCCTGCATCAGAAGCCCTACATTAGAAAGTACCTCATTAGAAATTGATTTCATAATGTTATACGATAACAAAAGTGAAGTTTTAAAAAACTAAAAAAGTGAAGTTTTAAAAAACAAACGTTTTTTAGTGTCTAACAAAAAATTGAAAGTTTTAAAAAACTTTCAATTTTTTGTTAGACTCTAAAAAACGTATGCCACAAGATCCTCGTCTTAACTTTACTGAGTTCTTTTTCATGTGGGTTTTGTGTAGAGTTTAGTGTGTTCCTCTTAATAATGCTTTTTTCAGCTCGACTATTTATTTATACTAGCTGAACGGACTCGTAAAAAAACGGGTCTTTGTAAGGCTATCCCTCACCAACCTTTTCTAAACTTTTTCCTTATACATACTTTAGCTTTCAGGACCCGTAAAATACGGGTATTTACCAGACACCATTTCTATACTTATCTATTACCTCATTGTCATTGATAGCTCAGTGGTCCAGTGCGTTGTCTTCAGTGTCGTTTTCGAGGGGGGTTTGACCTTCCTTCGTGTAATAAGTTTTAAGATTTTTTCAATCTTGTTTATATATTTATAGCAAAAAAAAAAATAATATAGCAAAAAAGATTTTTAATTGCTAAAATAAAATGTTGAAGTTTTTTTTTTTTTTAATTAAATTAAATATGATTGTTCCTTTTACTGCCTGCAAACTCATCATGCGCTAAAGACGTTTACACTTACAAACGTTTGTATTTAACGCTATTTAAATGGTAGAACTAAAAAGATGTTAGACCATTAAAAAATCTAGACGCGGCCTTAACAATAAAACGCTAATCTAAAATTAAAGCTATAAAAATCTTGTGACGTCAGTTTGTGACAAAAAAAAACTTTTATACTGCTTGTTTTCCATATATCTTTTTTTGATTAATTTGATTATGGTGCATACAGTTGCACACAAATATATAAACTGGTACAGATAAATCATTTTCAAAAATAAGTTGAAAAGTTAATATCAAGATAAGAAAATAAGAAGATAAAGTAAGAAGAGAAGATCAGTTTACTAAAAGAGCAGATAGTTTTTATAAATTTTATTTTAACTATTTTTTTATGTAATATTTTTTATCGTATTTTAAATAAAACACTTTTATTTTTATTTATATTACTACAGTTTATTTTTAGATTACTTATTTGATATAATATAATTAAGGGTGTGGAGTCATAAAAAAAGTACTGACTGCGACTCCAGTTGTTGAAATTTTTTGAGTACGACTCCGACTCTGACTCTAACTTTGACTCCGACTCTGACTCCAACTTCGACTTCGACTCTGACTCCAACTTCAAAGCAAAATTTTTGAAAAAATCTTTAAATTCTTTAAAAAATATTACGTGATTAGGTTTAAGAATTTTTTTTTTGACAAATTTATGAAACGTTTTTTGAGGTTTAGTATGAATATAAGGTTAATTGAATATTTTGCATATACACGTGCAATCCTAAGAAGTTTTGCTATTCGAGTCTGAACTGTGATTCTGTTTAGCGATTCTTACTCCGACTCCGACTCCGCTAAAAATGTCGCAACTCCGCGAGTCTGAATCCGACTCCAAAGCCCTGATTATAATATATAATATTTGTTTATATTATTGTTATTTTATTTTTAATTTACATTTTTCTTATTTTCTATTTAGTTTTTTTACTCATTTAATTTGATATTAAAACTTTCTTCAATATTTTTGTTTTTTTGTAACACAGTTATTTGTTTGGTTGTTACGTTATTGTCTAAACAACAATTATTATTATTGTTATTATTATTGTTATTATTATTCTTATTATTATTACTATTATTATTATTATTATTATTATTATTATTATTATTATTATTATTATTATTATTATTATCAAATGTATTGTAAAATTGTTTAGGCAAAATAAATAGCTTGTTGTTGTTGTTATTATTGCTACGTATAAGTCATCAAAGTGTAAAAATCCCTTTTTATTATTCTTGCGTGAATTAGAAACTAATACACCCACATAATTTATTTTTATTTTATTGCTTTTTTCCTATACCTGTTATGAGCTCACTAAATACCAAAAATTAGCCTTTTATTTCTATTTAATATAAAACATATAATTTAATATAAAAGGCTTAAGAAAAAACTGTGACAACCGTGGAATAATTCCATAATGCTATAATTGCTGCGACAATCGTGGAAAAGTTCTAACAATGCTATAATTGCCATGGCAAAGCTCTTACTATTCTAACAAGTTAATAAAATAAAACATTTTTTATTATTCTTTGCAAAAGTTTTTGTTTCCCAAACTATATACATTATAGGTCTACACTTAAGCGGTTTAAATTTTTTTTCTTTTTTGCTTATTGCTCCTTCGCCAGTGGAGACAATTTAAGATCCCCTTGACAAAATCTCAGAGTCACTCCCGTGCGGCAGCAGGCTATAAGATAGTTGATGTATGAACTAATGCCAATTAATATTTCTCTATATTTAAAAAGTCTCACGAACGAGATTATACGGAGCAATAAATAAACAAAACAAGTTAGGCAAGGTTACCAAATATTATTTTTGATAATTTAATAATTTTTAAAAAATTTGATAAAAAAATTGGAATAACGAAAAAATATTTTATCATTTATAACATCCTTGTAATCAGATTTTGTTGACAAATTTTTATTTTAAAAAATAAATCTGTAAAAAAAGTTGTTTTAAAATTGTTCTTAAAAAAACTTCTTAAAAAATTTTAAAAACATCTTAAAACGCTCTTAAAATTTTAACAATCTTTCAAATTTCTTTGAATGAATTATTTAATCTGAAAGAATTTCTTTAACATTAGAAAAAAAATTATTACCGTAAATTATATTGATCATTCTTATGTAAGCATTTTTTTAAATTTAAAAACATTTAATGATTTTTTTTGTCAAATTTTTGTTAAAATGAATAAACTTAAATCAAAGGTTTGTACAATTAAAAAATTTTTATTAGATATTTTAGGTCTTACTTTTTTTATTTGATTTTCAGAAAGTTCATTCAGGTTTTTAAAATCTTAAAGAACTTATATGAATGTTTTACAAGATTTTAGTGACAAAAAAAAAAAAAAATTGTAACAAAAATAAAATTTTAGTGACCAAATGATACAAAATATTAAAAACATTTTAATTCAAAGACTATAACAGCTTTCAGTTTTTTTTCGAAAATCATAACAAAGTACTAAAAGAAGAATAACAAAGTACTAAAAGAAGAATAACAAAGTACTAAAAGAAGAATAACAAAGTATTAAAAGAAGAATAACAAAGTACTAAAAGAAGAATAACAAAGTACTAAAAGAAGAATAACAAATTACTAAAAGAAGAATAACAAAATACTAAAAGAAGAATAACAAAGTACTAAAAGCGGAAGAGAAAATAAAATGACGGTAAGAATCTTTTTTCTTAATTATAGTTTTATAACATATAAGGCTTTGTCAATAAATTAAATTTGGTGGAAGTGGAAAACAGTGGTGCATACGAAATTTAGTAATCACTGAATCGTATAAGCAATATAAGTATATTAATATGACTATATTATTATTTCATTAAAAATATGTCATCAACCAAAAGCCATTTTTTTGCAATAAAAAAAAAGCAACTTCGTTCAGTTTATAATGTTTGGCATTTTGATTGGCAAAAAATACAATTTTGATCAACAAATTCGGACTGAATCCATTATTAATAATTAGTAAACCAATATTTGTATGATCATTGAATTTTTTTTAGTTTTTTAAGAACAGATGATTGCACCGACCCTGCCAAAAAACAAATAATTTAACAGTTTCTTCATGATTTCCTAAAGGAATCAATTTAACGCCTAAAAAAAGCCACAAAAAGACACAGTACCGACAACTACTTTTTTTGAACCGATTACCTAATATGTACTGTTTTCATATAGTGAACGTACATTTATATAAGAAAAAATTCATGAAAATTTTAAAAAGTCAAAAATAGACAGTAGAATCACAAGTAATTTATTGCAACGCAAAGTTGGACAGAATATACCAAAAGTTAGCAAAAATTAAAAACACTTACATATAATGCACTTTACACATCTAATTTTTTATTTTCGAGGTCAAGAGCCATTTCTGGCATTGAAATTGAGTCTTGACCACTCTTATTGGTGTTATCCAATGGCGCATTGGATTTTTCAACACTTTCAGGCGTTGTGCAAACTCCAAACTTAAGTATTTTTATGATAACGTCAAATTTTTTGCAAAAATTGCGATGACTAGAGCCTAGAAAGCAAAAATAAAACCAAATAGTCAGCTCCCTTACCCTGAGGGTAAGGACATCAAGTTAATAAATTAATTTATTTTACCTCACTCTAAATTCTAATATATTGCTAGAATTTAAATTTCATCAAACAGTCTTTTAGATTCCAAAAGTTTATTGTTGATTGATTGATTGAGGGATTCCGAATGACCATGTAAAGTTTCTATCCTCTTCTAAATGAGGAAATTGTAAATTTTTAATGATCAAAATTATTTAAGGGTTAATAGCCAGACTGGATTCCTTTATCGATCGTTTTATTATTATAAAAAAGCATAATTTGAATGGAGCTACAACTGATATTGCAGAAAGATACCGTAAAAGAAAAATATCTGCTGGTATTATTTTGCAGCATTACTTTACTATATTATTTTATTACATTTTACAAAGTAAAACAAATTTAAAGCTGCTCTGATTACAGACAAAGACCCGAGGAGCTGGTAAATTGACTTTCATTGAATCAATTATCGAAGCCAATTTTGATTGGCCAATTTTTATAAAGATATTTAAAAGCAAAATTTAAAGCCTGTTACTTTGGTTCAGAAACAATTTTGTGTTTTGACAGGACAATGACACGATACATACTGCCATAGCAAGAAAGAAACATTTTTGAAAGAATGATATTAACTTGATAGAATTGCCTGCCCTGAATTGTCTTCTGACTTTAATCCCATACATCCCAAATATTTTTTGTTACACCATTTCAGAATTTCAAAAAAAAACACAAAATTATTTCCGAATCAAAGTAACGAGCGGGCTTTAAATTTTTCTTTAAAATATCTTTATAAAAATTGGCCAATCAAAATTGGCTTCGATAATTGATTCAATGAAAGTCAATTTACCAGCTCCTCAAATATGCTATCAAATTTGGCTTTGATAATTGATTTAATGAAATTTTGTTTGGAGAAGCATCTGAATTGAACAAATGAATACCATAAATTAGGATCCTGAGAAAACTCCTTTGAATCCGGAGTTTTAAGGTCTGAATCCAGACCTTAGAATGCAGAGTTTGATCAATATGAAACCAGAGTTCATTTGAAATTAAAGCAAGAAGAAAGAAAAATGGAAGAAAGCAAGAATGTAACACTATTACTCTTAGTTAGCAATTTAAAGTTAGATATTGAACCACCCATGGTGCAGTGGTTAGAGTGGCTAAGAACCAAGAGTTCATGGTTCGACGCCGGCTCAAGCTAAGTAATCGACATTAGTAGGAAAGGAGGCGTGATTTTTATGACAAATGCTTCTCCATGATGCTAGGTGATCGAAAGACCGAGAGGTTTGCTTGGGCACCCTAAAACTTAAAAATTTTTTTTGACTGTTATCAGAGTACACATTTTTCGGTGACTTTTTTTTTTTTTTTAAGTTGATTAAGGTGCCCTAAGAAGTCTTTACGGTCTTATTACAGAGCACCGCGGAAGAGCATTTATTAGGAAGTTCACGCCTCCTTCCCAACCGATGTCGCAAAACTTGCCCAGAGGTGGGGTTTGAACCACGGATCTTACGTTTCTGAAGCAAATGCGCTACTACTGCGCTACGGCTGCTCTTTAAAAGTGATCTGTAACAAACCTGCATAATGTCCAATTTGTTATGATTTCAAATTGGTTCAAAATACCCAGCCTAATTACTATAACTCAAAATTACCTTGTTTAGACTCTTTTCAGTAACAATTTATGTTATTTTTTGTGTAGCTTTAACTTTAAAGCCAAACAGAGTGCGTGTATATTTTTCCATTGTTATAAGTGACGTTACAACTTGTCCGACTGCATTTTAACAACTTATAGTGATTAATGTAATTGTTTCTTTTTTGCAACTTGTTTAACTCTAAATTACGAGTCGCTTTTCCCGTTCGCAACAATACGTCTTGATTTATGCTCTAGTTGTATCTTGGGTTCAACTATGTTTTAAATATGCTCTGGTTTGTCCAAGAAACAGTTGTTTGTATTAGATCTTATACTAAATAATTGTTTGTACCAGACCTTACAAAGTTGTGTAATATAAAGTTTTTCTATCCATACAAATATTTAGCACAGAGGCTCTAGCTTCTGGTCAATACAACAACAGTGTCTCACTGTTGTTGTTTTGACAATAAATTCTGGTCAATACAACAACAATGTCTCTTTTTAGTTGCTACCATTTTCCAATAAATCAACCATTTGTGAAACTTATTAATTTTTTTTTAACTACATATACTGCAAGTTTCATGTCATTATCTATTTTTGATATACTTTAAGTCTTTTTACATTTAATATTATTTTCTTCTAAATTAAATAGAAAAAATCTAAAACATACACTCATAAAACACTTTTTAAATTAAATTAATGTTTTTTGGACATGCTTACCTCTAATTGTTTTCATTTATGCTGCTTTTTATAAGTATCAGGCAGTGTAAAAAAGATATTCAGAGAAGTAGTGCGACTTTTGGTAAATGGAAAACTAATCTATATATTAGAGTGGTACTGATGGTGGTGTTGGGGAGGGGGGAGGCAGTATAATTGCATAATAAACTTTATTATTATTCTATGCAGATGACATTAATAAAGGTATGTGACATTTCATCTATATGCTAGCTTGCGTGTCAGTGAATTTTGTGATAAAAAAATGATATAAATAATACCAGTTTTAACAAGTTAGTTTTACTAAGTTAGTTAAAAACTAACTTAATATAAAGTAATATAATTAAATACCACTAAATACAGACATATATATATAAAATACAACAAAGTATCTATAAATATAACAAAAGTATAACGAATAGCTTAAAATGGGAGTTAATAGAGTTGAAAATTGTTAACACTGTTAAAGCCAATTAGAACTAAGTTGCATATGTACTTTTATCGACTATTATAACGAAAGTAACTAATCACCAATTTCGTTTCGAGGAGCCTGCAACCTGTACTCACACTACTAATCAGGGCGTGTTCTAAAACAAGTTTTTATCGACTGCACTTAACGTTATGTTACTCTATAATGCAATATAAGTGGACCTCAATCTATTTTCTATCCTCAATAGATCATGTAAGGTTATGATGAGACGCACTTGAGGCAGCAATAAACATATATCAATACATGCATGATGGCGGATCCATTTTTTGATATTTGAGATTGCTGAAGTCCAAACATGAAACAAATTCTAAACATTACATATTTATACTTATGCCAAATAAGGACGCTTTGCAAAAAATTGTGGAGCCTGGGAACAAAAACCCTAATATTTTGGCAGCCCTAAAATTATTATTATTTGTATAATAAAATATTTCTTATACTAGTTTCATATAAATTTTTATTCATCGAAAAGTTTTAAATTTTATCCAATAATCTAATAACGTTTAAAAATCTTAAGTTTGAAACTCTTTCAATGTAAGAGGTTTCAAATTTTATGAGATCATAATTTTTAAACGCTAAGAAATTATTGCATAATATTTAGAATTTATTGATGATTCTGAATTTATCTAAAAATAGTAACAAAAACTTATTATCAACATGCTGCTCTCACGTTTAGGGCAGTTGTGGCTATAATGTTAGGGTTTTTTTTGTTACCAGGCTCGAAACATCGCAATTATTTGCAAAGCGTCTTTATTTAATATAAGTATAAATATATAAATCTTTGGTGTTGGTTTCATGTCTAAAAGTATTTCAAGTATCATAAAATGCTGGATCCCACCCCTGCGCATACAAATATCTATACGTATACATATATACATACGCATACATAAAAGTATATATCTACCATGTACGTATACATGTATACATACGCATACATAAAAGTATATATCTACCATGTACGTATACATGTATACATACGCATACATAAAAGTATATATCGATGGTTAAGAGCACAAAGGGAATACGTCCACTAACCATTGTTTTGAGAAATCTGAATTTGAAAGTTTGAAAACATACAATAGTTCATGATACTTATTTATTGTTATAATTTTTAACCAAATGCATTCCTCAATTAATTCTGTCTTATTTTTAACAATTTTATTTTCATTTCTTTTACATACTTTAATACCTAATTTATTTAATGTTTACCTAATGTTTAATGTTGGACATATTTTGTGCTCTCATTATTTTGATCTGTATTAAAAAACATGTTTTTCATTGTCATTCATGTTTTAGATCTTATACTATTAGAATTACCATGTTAACTGCTTTTTGTTTTAACAACATTATTATTTTGTATTTTATATATTTTGCATTTTAGTCTTTGTAAATAATAGTACCACAAACTTTATACTTTGTTTTTTAGGATTATTCACATTCCCCGCAACATAAAAAATGGATAAAAAAAAGAAAACACACAGCCATTGCATTTGCAATTCAAAGTTTGATTTTAGGCATAGAATACAGTGTAACACTGTCAACTCTTTGGTTATATATAAAAGAACTAGTAAATACCGAATCACCGAAATTGTTTTACACATTAGTATCTGTTATGTACACACTGTCATTCTTCTTAAGTACTCCGATTATTGGAAGAATAGTTGATCGCACTCGTCAGGTTCAAGTTTGGTTTTTTATCTGCAACTGCTTTTTAATTTTTGGAAATTTATTTTATAGTCTTCATTTTTCACCTTGGTTTTTAGTGATTGGCAGATTTTTATCAGGTTGCTGTGGTTTGAGTTCTGTTATTTGTGCCGAGATCATTAGAAGTTATCCATCTAGTGAAACAATTTTTCAGTTATCAATACAATCATTAGCTTTTAACTCTGGATTTATAATAGGACCTTGTATTAACATTTTGTTTTTAAAAATCGATTTTTATATTGGATATTGGCATTTAAAAAACTTCAATTTTATTGGAATATTTATGAGCATAGTTTGTTTAATAATGTGTTTACTTTCGTTTTTAATGGTTCACAATTTATCGAAGGAATTTGATTTAAAAGGACATGAAGAAAAAAAAGCTAAAAGCTTTGATATTACTAATATCGAATTATTTGGAGAGTCTCTATTATCCTTAAACAATTCTGATGTGATCTTTGATTTAAACAAAGAATCTATTGAAATGTTACCGCTACTCAATTCTACAAAACTTCAGATTAGTAATGAAACAGCTAGTTCATTACCTCATTTAAATATTTTTATAATTTTTAAATTGCTTTTTACATCATTTGATACGTCGTTGTTGTTGTTTAGTACGTTTTTTATTCTACTTTTTCTCGTTACTTATGACATGTGGATTCCGTTGTTTATTATAGACACTTTAAAATTGTCTCTTTTAGAACTTAACATTTGTATTTTTGGTACAGGAATAAGTTCTGTTTTAATTCTGTTCTTTTGTATAGTCAAACCAATATCCGAAGAAAAAATGTTTATCGTGGTTTTGATTGGACTGTTTGGTATTTGCATAATTAACGTGAGTTACATTGTTTTGAAATACTTTAATTCTAAACCACTACAACTAATTTTTGGCATCGCATTCATGATTAATTTTGCTGGAGCAGGTATAATACCAGAGGTTTTTATTACAAACACTTTAGCTAGATATGTTAGTTCAAATAATCAAGCTTTTGTGGATGGCATACGCAATTCAATGTTTGCGGCAGGAACTCTAACAGCGTTTTCAAGTGCTGCGTTTACATTTGAATACTTAAGTATAATTTCATATACATTTATTATATTAACATTTTTTTTAATGGTTTTGTGGATGGCAAGAAGAACCCATTTACTTAATCCAAAACCAATATTTTAGCATTTGTTACTTTTTTTAGTTTTTTTTCTTTTTTAAGAATATATAGAAACAATAATTTAAAGCATTCATTATTTTTATTAGGAGATTTAACATAGAAACTGTTTCAATTAATAAATAAATTATTTATGCAGCTTTTAAGATTAGCCAAACTGATCAATCGCTACTTATCCAGCAAATGATTGCTACTTTGAAGTTGTTAACTGAAGGTGATTGAATTGATTGACATAAATCAATTCAAATTGTCAAATGATTATTTGACAGAGTGTCAATGATCATTAGAAAAATATCCTTTTGAAAATTGTTAAATGATCATTTGACATGAATTAATTAAAAATGTCAAGTGATCATTTGACAGAGTGTTCCATAAATTACTAATCTATTGAAATAGAAGATTCCTCTGTGTTTTTCCTATGTCATTTCCCTGCATAATTATTAAAACAGTCATTTTTTGATCTGATTGCAAATAATTAAAAAGAAAAATTATAAACGAAAAACTAGAAATCTAATTTTTCTTGTTGGCAAATACTATTCATGATTTTATACACTTGCTATAGATCTCCTTTTTTATCTACTTTTACTTTTTTGATATTGACATGACTACACATTTTGACATGTACATAACTTGAAGAAAATTTGAAATTTTTGGAAAAAGTAGAAAACATCATAAAAAAGATGTTTTCGACTTTTTCTAAATATGGTGTGTTCGAATTTATGTGTTCTAATTTATGCATTATGGTGTGTTCTAATTTATGCAAAGGTGAGTATTATTTAAAGATTTAAAATTTTTGATAACCCAAAATCTACTCTAAGGCGTGTAGTTGAAAACTGTCGAATAAATGTTATATATATATATATATATATATATATATATATATATATATATATATATATATATATATATATATATATATATATATATATATATATATATATATATATATATATAACATTAAGATAGCTTGCTACTGGTTGGTTGGTTGTTACTGGTGATGCTCTGATATCAATAGCAATAAGTTTTGAAATGAATCCTATAACTGTAGAAATATTTATTAAAGAAACATGTACAGTTATTTGGAATGTTTTGTGTAAAAAAAGATATTTATTAGCACCATCTTTGAAACAACAATGGTTAAAAAATCTGTAGAATACTTCAAAGGATAGAATATTCCTCATTGTCTTGGTACATTAAATGGTAAACATTTTTACCATGTTTACAAATTTATTTTTTCAACTTTTACCATACAAATCATCAGAATCATTGTTAATATTATTTTTTATTTCGTCATTTGACACATTTTACAATGTTAACCACACATTCAAATAAATTTGAACAATTACAAGCTGAGTGGAGCAAGTAGAAGATGAAATGTCTTATCATTAAGCCCCTTCGTAAAAATAGAAAAAATAAAACAAAACTTCTAATAATATATAAAATATTATTATAATCTATAAAATATTTACAACTTCTAATAATATATAAAAAAAGTGATATTAAAAAAAGTTTAAAAAAACAAATTAAAAAGTTTGAAAAAATCAAAAAGTTTTGAAAATAATTTTTAAGTTTGACAAAACTAAAATGTTTAAAAATAATAAAAAATAAAAAAGTTTGAAAATATAGTTTATAAATTGATACATATGCGTATACGTGTCTAATAAACTTCATAATATATATCTAAATATACAAAAGATATTTTGAATTTAAAAAGGCTCTGAACATTTTATATTGATCAATTCTTTTTTTTTTTTTAAACAAAATTAAAACAGACAAACAAAAAGAAACAATAAGAATAAAATTATATATAAAAACTAAGCAGATTTCTGATCGTCTGTCATTAAATTGTTTTCTATTTATTGTAAAAAAACGCAAAACAAAAATTTTTCGGCGCCCCTTCAAGCGCCAGGGTCAATTATCCCTCCTTTGCCCCTCCCTCTCGAAGGTCCTGTAATGAACAAATTCAAATGTTGAAAAAACAAAAATCTAAAAAATCTTTCGTCTGCGAAACACGGAAATAAGTTTAATACTGTTAGAACGATTTTTGTTATGATAAAATTTAATGCTTTTTTATTTTTATTTAATGGTTATAGTAGACAAATAAATTTCGTACACCGAATCATAGATTAATGTTGCATTAAAAGTACGACTTTTTCGATTGAGGTAGGCTACGTGGTAGAAGAATATACTGAGCAAATTAAGCTAAGTTAAAATTCTGATTGAAAAGTTCAGATCTTAAATTTAACTGCAGTTGTTGCACAAATTTTAAACATAACAAACAACACTATCCCATAAACAAATGATTTTTGAAAAATTAACGAATTGAAACTAATAAAAGATTTGAACTTATAAACCTACACCAGGCGGTACCTGGTAAAATATATTTAAACAGCTGCCAACAATGTTTTGCTGTAAATAAACGACTTTAATAAGACTTTTATTCCATCTAATATTCCTATACAGTTATTCCATTTCAATTCTTTTGTCTTTATCTTGACAACTTCACCGTTGAAAATAAACCAATTCTTTATAAATTTATTGGATTTTTTTCAAAAAAATTTATAACATTGTTTTTTCAATTACCGCAAAAATAAATTTCTCTACTGCATAAAACAGAATTCATATTTAAAAAATATATTGATTTAGCAAAAATATATTGATTTAGTAAAAAATATATTGATTTAACAATTTGCCTCAAAATAAAAACAATAGGACGCAATGAAAATGTGATAGTAATACGTATAATATTTTCTTTACCGTACATTTTGCTGCGTATTTCATTTAAAGAGAGTATATTGAACAAAAGGTTAAAATTATAATTATGTTATATTAATTAAATTAATATTGTTCAAATGAAATACGCAGCAAAATGTACAGTAAAGAAAATATTATACGTGTATACGTGTATAAATATTATACTATCTTTGTTTACTTAAGTAAATAAAGTTTCAAAAAACGGAATACAACAAAAACAGGGCTGTGGTATCGGAGAAGAAGTCGGAATTGCGGAATTGCAACATTTTTAGCGGAGTTGCAACATTTTTAGCAGAGCTAGAGTCGGAGTTGGAGTCGCTAAATAAAATTGCGACTCCGACAATAAAGCTTCTCGGTATTGCACGTACATGTACAAAACATTCAATTAACCTTATGTTCTTTTCTTTTTTTTTTTTTTTTTTTTTTTTGCCATATAAGTATATATACGTACAATCAATATTTCAGATAATAACAGATTGCTGGGGCAAGAAGAAGACACAATTTGTCTTATCACCAAGCATCGAGAATTAACTCCATAAAATAAAAACTATTACTTACAGCATATGTAATTGTAACCAGTGTATAAGAAATAAGATTTTCTTATACACTAAAAAACTAGTAAAAATATATAAAAAGAGAGTAATAAAAACATAAAAAATAAAATTATTTTTCTTATTTAAATAAAATTCTTATTCTCTTTTTATAGCTTGACTATCGATACAAAGTATTGGAAGTTATAAGGATATTTTATCGCGTTCATGAAAGCGATGGAAAAATGTATACTTTGTTTTAGTTAAATTAATTGATAATTTATATGCATAAAGCCATTCAGTAAGTTTTAAGAGTTCTATGTTAACTGAGTTAAGCAACATTTTTATATCATGGTGAGCATAAAACAAATTTGTATCATCAGCAAATAAAATAGCGTCTAATAAATTACAAGATTTGCTTAAGTCATTAATATAAATTACAAATAAGAGTGGTCTTAAAATTGATTCTTAAGGAACCCCGCAGTTTATATTTATACTAACAGTTTCTCCGCAGCTAAAAAAAATATATTGTTTCCTATTTGACAAATAGCTTTGAAACCATTTAATATTCGAATTTTTATTCCCGTTTTTTTTTTAGATTATTAAGGAGAATATAATGATCAACAGTACCAAATGTTTTGCTAAGATCAATAAAAACACCTAACGTATGTTTATTTTCAACAAACGCCTGAAAAATGTTTTGAACAAGATGAATAATTGCTTGATCAGTGAAGTGATTCTTTTTAAATCCAAATTTTTTATTATAGAGAACATTGTTATTTTCTAAAAAGGTAAATAGTCGTTGAATCATAATGTATTCTAATAGTTTAGAAAAGCATGATAATATTGAGATTGGTCTGTAATTGGATACGCTTGTAGCATCTCCGGATTTTAAGGCAGGGACCACCTTTGCAAGTTTAAGTTTATCAGGAAAGATTCCCTGTTCCAGATACATGTTAAAAATATGCATGAGTGGAAATTTTAAATAAAAGATTGATTTTATTATTACATTTACTGCAAGCATCGTTTAGGCCAAGACCTTTGTTAGGTTTTAAAAAAGAGACAGCATTAGAAAATTCTTTTTCAGTTAATTCATTGTTTTCTATTAGAGTATTATTAGCGATTAGGTATGATTTAAAATCAGATTTACTAACTTTAATTTTTGATGCTAAATTTACGCCTGAGTCGGAGTCGGAGTTGGAATCAAAGCCGATGTCGGAATTGTATTCAAAAAATTTTAACAATTGGAGTCGTAGTCAGAGTTGTACTCAAAAAATTTCAACAACTAGAGTCGGAGTCATTACTTTTTTTTACGACCCCACACCCCTGCCAAAAAGCACATCTTTTACCCTATATATAAATAATTAATAATAGTGATGATATTAATAATTATTATTATACAACAGTAATAAAAATAAATCAATAGTTACAATTATAGTATTAATAAGAAGAAAATTATACTAAGCTACTTAAAAATAATTTAAGTATAGAAAAAAGAAGGAAATAAAGTTTTTACAAAGAAGGTTGTTCGACGCAAAACACAAAATCGAAAGAGAAAAAAGGAACTTGTTCTTTAACTAACAGAGTAATATTATGTTAATGGATGCGATAATGATAACAATGATAATTACTAGAATACAGTATTTATAGCAGATCGAGTTTCACTTTCGGAAAGTATAGACACGTGTTTGACACGCAGGAGCGGATGCAGGACTTTTTGTGGGTTTTTTTGTTATTATTAAAAAACCTTCCCTAATTTTGGAAAGACTCTCTCATATTAATAGA